TCGGTGATACGGTGGATAGAGCGCTAGGCCTGGAGCCAGGAAGACTCAAATCCTGCCTCAGACACTTACTGGCGGTGTGACCCTGAGCAAGTCACTTCACTTGTTTGCCTCAGTTTCCTCATCTGTAAAATGACCTGGAGAAGGAAATGGCAAACCACTCCATCCAGTATCTTTGCCAAGAAAACCCCAAATGGGGCCATGAAGAGTCAAGCTTGACTGAACAATAATAATAGGATACAGGAGGGTGGATGAAGATAGAGTATCATCATTTATTAATGTCTAATTATTTAATCACGAAATATTGAAATATAATTATTTATAAGTTACAAAGACCACTTGGATATATAATTAGAACTCCTGAGGCCATTGACAACTCTAAAATTCTACAAAGATAGGGTCCTAGGGCAGTAGAATTGAGAGGATGTGGGTTCAAATCCTACCCCTACCACTCTCTACCTGTGCTGTGTGATCTTGGACAAGTCCCCTCTCAAGCCCTAGGTTTCCTTACTTGTAAAATGGGGCTGGGGGGCTAGGGGAGTGTTCCAGATCACTTGTATCAAACTCAAATAGAAATGGGGGCCATTAATCCATATTGACAGTGGGCTCCATATTGACAGTTTTAAGATGTAATGTTATCTTTGTTTTATTGTTATTTTATTGGTTTTGTTAAATATCGCTCAATAACATTTTAATCTGGTTCAGCTGCATGTTTGATATCTCTGCTCTAGGTGACCTCCAAAGTCCTTCCGCTTGTCAAGCTACGATCCCATTGTCTGAGACCCAGGGCAAAAAGTCCAAATGCAAAATGAAACCAAGAGCTTTCATTCTCTGAGCTCGCCCCCAAGTCCAACCAAGCAGAAAGGGACTCAGGCTGCTTTGGACTGCAAATACCACTTGGGGAAGCCAGGAACATGGTTTTCCCCACATTTTGTTTTGAACTATTAGCAAGGCTACAGGCATTAAAGTGGCCTTAGACCAAACGTTTTCCATAACAAAGTACCCAAGTCCTAGAACTTCGAGTTTGTTGTTTTGAAGGGAAAAGAAAAAAAACCCAGAGAGAAGCCGAAGCCGTACTACAAAGTTGGTTTCCATATCAAAGCCCAGAGCCCCTTTTAATTTGCTAGGCAGTTTTCATAGCTTGAAGGAAGCATTTTTGAGAAAAACAAACAGAAATGAGTTTAGTTATAGGTTGGATAATTTTGTTTGTTTTAATAAAGAAGGGCTTGATTTTTCCTTATACAAAGGGTTAATTAAACAGATGGGACTGGGAGAACTTGTCTAAATTGGGAGGATCTCTAAGGGGACAAATTTGGTCAGGAAGGAGAAAAATAACCTCTTAGACGCCCTGTTGCTTTAGAAGTTCTCTGGCCTGGATGCCTGGGCCATGCTGGAAAAAGCAATGGATTTGGAGTTAACGGATCCTGGTTCAAATGCCAGCCCTGCCGCTCCCTACCCATGAGACACTGAGCAAATCGCTTCTCGGGCCTCACCTTTCCTCATTTGTAAAATGGGGGTGTTGGAACGTCAAAGTTGTTTTAATAAATAGTAGAAGCCAGAGCTTTTCAAAAGGGCACTGTCTTTGAAGGCAGAGGCCCCAAGATCAAATCTATCTCTGATGCTATCGCACGGTCTGAGTCAAGTCATGCCCTTAAACTGCCTGTGCCTCAGTGTCCTCCCCTGGAAAATAAGTGTTGGACTTGACTACCCCGGAGGACCCTTCCAGGCCTAGGGCTATGATCCTAGGATGTCATAATATCCTGCAATGAGAGTCAAGATGTAGCCACGCTTGGCATCTTACCAGAATCCATTTAGGGCTGGAAGGGAGCTTAGAGACCACCTATTCCAACCCCTCGCTCTACAGATAAGTAGGTGACTAGTCCAGACTTGAACAGGTCTGTCTGTCTGCCTGTCTGTCTGAGGTGGAATTTGAACCCAAGTTCTCTGACTCCAGAGCCAGTATTCTTTAAAAATCTTCCGACTGCTTGATATCTAATAAACCACTCTAAAATTCATTGATTCAGGCAGCATCATAAGCTTTATGAAAACAAAAAGCAAAGTTGGCAATTCCATATTCTAATTCTAACCACTGTCTTTTTTTTTTTTTTGGAGGCAGTTGGGGTTAAGTGACTTGCCCAGGCTCACATATTTAGTAAATGTGTGAGGCTGGATTTGAACTCAGGTCTTCCTGACTCCAGGGCCAGTGTTCTATCCACTGTGTCACCTAGCTGCCCCTAACCGTTGCCTTTTGCCAAATATTTGCAAATGCCATTTTTCTCTTTGGTCTGGGCAGGGAAAAAAAAGAAATTTACATGACAACTTTATTATATCTTTAAAAGGAATAGCAAGTTGTACACAACAGATTTGCAGTTTCATGTGCAATCACCTTTTTAAAAATTATACTATGTTAAGAAATACTTGTTTTATTCCTCAAATTAAAAAAAAAAATAAAAGTGAAAAAAATAGCTCCTAGCTCTTCCCTAATTTTTTTCTTGTCGTGTTCCTCTTCTGCACCCTTTCCTCTTCCTCTTCCTCCATTTTTTTCTAAATGATTTACATTTTGGGCTAGCTCTAGTTTCCTTCCTATTGCCAGACCCTGTACATGCAAGATATATAACGTCAGCAAACAGCATAATACACCGGCAAAGCTCTGATCCTGGCAAAACATGGAATTTCCCATTTCAAATCTCAAAGAGAATGATCCCATGATTTTTTTCTCCTTGCTCTTTGTGGGGCCAGTGGAAAGAAGGAAGGACATGTAGTCAGAGGGTCTGGGTTTGAATCCTCGCTCTGCCATTGATGAAATGTAACATTGGGCAAGTCATTTTAAGTCACGTCAATTAGCATTTATCCAGCGCCTACTGTATGCCAGGTACTGTCCCAATGTCCCAAGCACAGGGGATAAAAAGAAAGGCAAAAACAATCCTTGCTCTTGAGGGACTCATAGTCTAATGGAGGAGACAGCATACGAAGAGCTTTGTACAAATGAGGTATATACTGGGCAACTGAACATGCAGAAGGTTCTAACATATGGGGGTATTAGAACAGGCTTCTTGCAGAAAGTGGAATTTTAGTTGAGACTTAAAAAAACCCGGGAGGTGGAGATGAGGAGGGAGAGAATTCTGGCCATGAGGGACAGCCAAGAAAAAAAACAACCACCTTAAACTCCTTTGGTCTCAGTTTATGCATATATAAAATAAGGGAGTTGCAGGACTCAAGCTCAAATTCTGCCCCTATAACTTACTGCCCGTGTGTTCAGTCATGTTTAGTCATGACTGACTTTTCATGACCCCATTTGGGGTTTTCTTGGCAAAGCAGTTTGTCAATTCCTTCTCCAGCTCATTTTATAGATAAGGAAACTGAGGCAAACAGGATGAAGCGACTTGTCCAGGGTCACACAGCTAGTAAATGTTTGAGGCTGGATTTGAACTCAGTAAGATTCCTGACTTCAGGCCCAGCGCTCTATCCACTGAGCCACCTAGCTGCTCACTGTCTGTGTGAATAAAATGGATTATTTCATTTGGGCAAACCACTTCACCTCTCAGGGTTCCAGTTTCCTCATCTGTAAAATGAGAGGATTGGACAAGATGACCCCTAAGGTCTCTCCCAGCTCTAAATCTGTGACCTGATTAATAAAGGCCTTAGCAAACTTCTACAGTTGAGTCAGGATACAGCCACTATTGAGGGGTGTGGAAACTCTCTTAGTTTTTTTTCGCCTCATTCCTCCTTACCCCTCACATACTCATAAAGCTTGTTAAAATACTCTCAAATGCCTGTCATTTAAATACAAATTTCTTCCCCCTAACTGGTTTGAGCAAGAATACAGGAACTGTTGTGCCCTTCACCATCCGGCTAAACATATGCTAACCATAAGCCTAAGTATTTTCATAAAGCATAGATCACCTATTAATTAGGGAAAACCCCTGGAAACTCTAAAAGGTATACCTTTAAGGAAATTAAAAACAGTATTACTTTACACCCTGGCCGGCAAACATGTGCCATGCTAAGTCAAGAAGGGTGGATATAATTCCTGGGTGTCATACGGACACTAGGACCGTTGGGCGCCCTAGGGATGATGGGGGATACAACACTACTCTTAAGTAGATATCATTGAGGGTAACTTGGTCTTCCTAGCAAAGGTGGCTTGGTGCTCATCCAAGTGAGAGATAGAGGATATGAGAGGAGATGGAGGCTTCTTCTCTGCAGGATATTCTGTGCATTACTGTAAGTATAATCATGTCAATGAAGAACATATGAAGTCAATAACACAATCTATGATAAATCAACCAATCAATGAATATTTATTAAGTGCTTACTATGTGCCAGAGAATAAAATGATTTTAATTGAGGAATGAGAAGCCTCAATTGAGCAGCTCCTTAGCATGGAACACATGAGTCTACTCCTCCTGGGATGGTAGTCATGGGTTCAAGGTTTCTTATGAAAAGATGAGGATGAAAATGCCTCAAATTAATGTTAAGGCTCAAGTTATCTTGGCAGCTATCAAGAATCATAGATTGAAAGCCTTAAAACTATATTCATAGTATCCTCATGAGGATCGCTTCACAAATGAAAACCTTAATTACTTGGCATCCAGAATCCAGTTGTCAGCACCCTCTAAATTTGGTGCCTGGGGGGAAAGACCCAGTTGCCCCACCCTGGTTACACCTTTGAAGCCAGTTCTATACATAGAGATCTCAGGAGAAAGGAGAAAGGATTTCTAAGGCATCACTAACACTAATTTGATTAATTCTAGACTTCCAACTGGGTGACCTGCTGTTCACTGTATAAAAAGATGTCGTCTCTGTCCTCAGGAAGGTTACATGATTTGGGACGGTGACTCACCCCATGTCTGGACATGGAAACATGGCAACATTCACCCAGTACTTCATGATGAAGGCATTGGCTTGGCTGGGTCTCCACACTCATGCACGCCTTGCCTAGTCATCAAATAACTGAGACATGTAATGCAAGTGGGGAGGAGATTCTGGGTCCAGTAACTTACCAAGGTTATTTCCAGGGATGAGAGGCAACATTGCTACTGAGGTCAACGAGGGCAGGCGTTCCTACAGGAAACGAAAGACAAGCACTGCTCGTTAGAATGGGGAAGTGCAAGCAGTGGATTTCAACTGTCCCTAACAAACGGAACATTAACCTTAATGCAGTAATAATAATAGCTAGCATTTGCAAAGCACATCACATCCAGTATCTCATTGAATGTCACAATAACACAGTAAGCTTATTATTACCCCCATTTTACCAATGAGGTAACTGATGTTGGAAGAGGTTGAGTAATTCATTCAGGGTCACACATCTAGCGTTGGAAGCAGGCTGGGAACTCAGGTCTTTCTGACACCAACCCCAGTGATCTATCCACTCAGCCATTCAACAACCTACATCCAGAGGGACTCTGTCTGGATTTAATGTTTATTCTATGGGAAGAAATATGAATTCACTGAAAAAGCATTAAATAATTCAAATTTGCACCCCCCAAAGTGGTAACTTTATTGTTTAGTCTTTTCAGTCATGTCTAACTCTTCGTGACCCCTTTTTAGGATTTTCTTGGCAAAGATGTTGGGGTGGTCAGCCATTTCCTTCTCCAGCTCATTTTACAGATGAGGAAACTGAGGCCAACAGCATTAAGTGACTTGTCCAGGGTCACACAGCTAGTAAGTGTGTCTGAGGCCAGATATGAACTCAGGAAGATGAGTCTTCCTGACTCTACGCCCAGCACTCTACCCACTGCATCACCTAGCTGCCCCCAAGTAGCTGCATACCTGCATTAATTCATCCTTTATCTTAACTGTCCATTTTCTTCCCCTCAGACCTATTAGAGAAGTGAATTGTAGTAGAAATAACACTGAGGTGAGAGTTAAGAGCACTAGAACACAAATCCCAGTGTTGCTGGTACTCACTACCTGTGTTACCTTGGGCAGGTCATTTTACCTGAGAATAGGACCTCAATTTCCCAATCTGCAAAATGAGGACATATACCTGTAGCAGACTGATTTTTTTAAGGGAGAGTGGAGAAGGACCATACTCATGCTTTCACCTTCACAGGGAGTTCTGGGTGATAACCTTCCTTTTCCAATGCAGATCACACCTTCTCTGGCATTTATATGCTCTCAGTAAGTCCCGCTACGGTACAGAGACGTTAAGTGATTCCCCCAGGATCACAAAAGCATGATGTGTCAGAAGAACTTGAATGTAGGGTTTTCTGATTGACGCCATCATTCCCCTAATCTACTAGCTTGATGTGAAGGTCAACTAAGATCATCTCTATAAAAGGCTGTGAAATCTTTAAGGCACGACTTAAATGCCAGTTATCATGATGTCTGGTGGTCCCCTTGCCTCCCAGGTCTTCTCATGCCTCCCTCTAGCAGCTCCCAAAAGAGAGAACAACGTGTCTTGTGTTACATCACGAGCTCATGATAACATGGTGAAAGTTTCATAAAGCAAGCCCCAGCCACTAACTGACATGGTAGATGTCTATCGCATCTCACAAGCTTTTGGCTTGAAAGTCCAGTGATATGACATCACGTAGCTAAGTGGAAGCTTGAGGTGGGAGGAGAACTCGGGTCTTTCTGATTGCAAATACAACATTCCAGCCAATCTGAAGCACTGCCTCCCCAGTATGGAAGAGCAAGCCAAGGACTTTTGATGGTGTCCTACCCAGCGGAGCACTACCAGTGACTGAGAAATGCAGGCCACTGAGGACACGGCCATCCATTCTTAGACACAGCTCTTTCCTACCTGCTCTGATGAGGACCACATCATTTTTATTCACCTCCAAGTAAAGCTAGAGTGCTGAACCTGAAGTCAGGAAGTCTCATCTTCCTGAGTTCAAATCTGGCCTAGTTGTGTGTCTCTGGGCAAGTCACTTCACCCTGCTTGCCTCAGTTTCTTCATCCGTAAAATGAGCTGCAGAAGGAAATGGTAAACCATTCCAGTAACTCTGCCAAGAGAACCCCAAATGGGGTCACAGATAATCAGACGTGACTGAAACGATTAAATACCAACATCAAAGTAAAGCCATTTGTGTTTAAGCAGAGAAAACACAACAAAAATGGAAATAGAATCAGTTGCTGCCCAGCTTACTGCAGAAAATGAAGTGGGAGGGGCAAGTCTGAGTTGGAGGGGAGTGGGGGGGGTGCAGAATTCAGTCAAATTATCCAAATAAACAGAGAGTAAGAAGATCCCAGCAGCCATTTAATCAAATCAGCCAACAGGCTTGGGTGCTAACATTATGGGGATCTATCTATAATGGCATTACTCAGACCAGCACGTAATTAGATCTACTCAAACCCTGCCAGCCAAGGCTTAAAGGAGAGTTGGTGGCATCTGGACAATTCCCGCAAAGCCCGAAAATGAAATGCATCCACAGTGCTATCTGATGTTGGGCCAGTCTAACAGATGCTAGAGCTTGGAATCAGCTGGTAGCTTAGGGAGGCTGTGCCTGGTGGCTGAAGGGGCCCTGGCTTAGGAGCCAGGAGAGCTGAGTTCTGGTTTAACAAACTCCAAACAACCAACTGTGTGACAATAGGTGAGCTGCTTAATCTTTCTAGACCTCAGTTTCCCTAGATGTATCATGGTGGTTGTAAAAGTATTGGGTTAGGTGACCTGTAGGGCCCTTTCCAGATATTGAATCGAGAATGAGAACCTTTAGGAGTTTGTAGATTTGTGGATTTTGAACTGGAGGGGACCAGAGAGCTCATCTCGCCAACAGTGAGTGTGATGTAATGGAGAATGTGGGTTTGAATGGATTGCTGCTTACTACATATGCAATGAGCAATTCACTCGATATCTCCTGGCACTCAATTTCTTCAGCTGCAAAAGTATCCAACCTCTACAGACCTTTTCAGCTCTGCATATAAGGTTCCTATGATCTCTCTCAGTTTCTTTGGCTGTAAAAATGAGGCGGTTGGCCTAGGTGAACTCTATAATTTCTTCGAGCTCTAAATTGGCTGCATGAGTTATTTGGTCAGATTTTTTCCCTTCCATGAGAGTAGGGTCCAAGGTAACATGGGGGCACTAGATACCTGAAGGCCACTGGAATAGGGAAAAAATGAGTTCAGAAAGTGGATATTGAGAAGAGTGAAGATAGATAGATTCTATTGTCTTCATTATATTTTTCTGGGGTTTGCCTTATTCCTGGCTTTTAACTGTAAACGTTCTTCCCAGTGGGGTCTACATGCCACTGCCCACCTCTGGCAGTTAGGATTCAATGACAGAGAAGGATTTTCTTTCCTCATCTGTTTCAAAATGAAATTTTTTTCCAGGACATTTAGAGCCTGGGCCTGAATGCATTTTGCTTATGAAAATGCCAAATAGGTCATAACATTCTCTCTCTTTCCTGGCCAATCCCATGAGATTAGCAGCTCTGGAAATTGGAAAAATAAAAAGATGACAGGGAAGGAAAGGTTTTGACCTCTTCGGAATTTCACCATGAAGTCCAAGGACATCCCAGAGTGCTGCTAAATTTGAAAGGCATGATGGCTATCTGAACCAATGTGGCAGCGTACGGTTACAGAGGGCTTTTCAGTAGCATCGGGTCAGCTACTCATGCCCTTCGAAAAGCAGCTCTCAAAAAGGGGAAGGGTGAACATTGGATTACTGAGTCTCTTCTCTGGGAAGAGGATTTCATTAGATGAGATCAAAGTTGTAGGACCATTTGGGCCCAAGAGGTCCTGGCCTAATTTCCCAATCAAGGAAGCCATTTTTCATAAATGGCCAACGTGTCTATAACCCAACAGAGAGTGCCTTCCTACGAAGAAGAAAGACCAAGCAATAGAAAAGAAGACCTGATGTTTGAAGCCTCTCTCAATGTCAGTTTCCAACAGAATTACAGAATCTCAGAGGTGGAAGGATCTAGGCCTCATTTTCCCTAATTGTAAAATGAGAGGATTAGAACAGATACTTGAAGCCAGGAAGATCTGGATTCAAATCCGTCCTCAAACACTTGGCAAGCCACTTATGTCTCAGTTTCCTCATCTATAAAATGGGAGACTGGATAGGAAGAATTCTGTTTGCGTCTAGCTTGAAATCTGATACTGTGATCCTGTGTCCTTGAAGGTCCCTTTCAACCCTAAATCTATCATCCTGTGCCTTGGGGGTTATCCGGTCCAACCCATACCTGAACACAAATTCCCAAAATATCTGACAGATGGTCATCAAGCCTTCGCTTCCAGACCTTTTTATTCAAGACCTCTATTCCATTTAGGAATAATTTATGGGACTTTCCTCAATAGATCAAGCCTAAACTTGTCTCTCTGGCATTTATTTCACTGTTTCTAGTTCTCATTTCTGAGACCAAGACTTCTTTATGACAACCTTTCAAATGCTTGAGGACAGCTATTGTCACAACTGACCTACCCCCTCATGCCAGTTTTCTCTTCTACAGGCTAAGAATTCTCATTTCCACTGAGTGATCCACATATGGTATGAAATTGAAGCCTTCCCCATCTTGGTTACTCTTCCCTGTTCACATTCTAGCTCAGTAGCCTCAAACTCAAATAGAAAAGGAGGCCACTAACCCATGCAGAAGGATCATTGCAGGCTGCATATTAACTGGGTTTTAAAATACAAAATTATCTATTTTATTTCATTTTTATTTATTTTATTAAATTTAATCTGTTTCGGGCTGCACTCAGGAAGGTTATAAATTGCATGGGGCCCAAGAGTCATTTGTCTGAGACCTCTGTTCTAGCTGACTGAAATGAGGTGTCAATGCATTCCACTCAACACTCCCAATGCAATCTAACCAGGGCAGAGCCACAAGAGGACTGGCACTTCCTGTTCCCTGGACTTCACGCCGCTGTTAATATAAAGGCCAACACTGAATGTGCTTTCTTGGTTGACACATCCCGCTGCTCTTTTCCCTATTCTGTCTCATCTTATTCAATCTGGTCCAGCCTGTTTAGATCCTTTTGGATTCCGCATCTCATCCAGGGGGTTCACTCTCCCACCTGGTTTTGTGTCATCCCCACACTGATGAAACTGATGCTTTGGTCCCAGTCATTGATGAACATGTAAATGGTCCAGGGCAAATCACAGATTCCAGAGGCTC